ACTAAGGACATTTTCAAATAAATCCAGACTGAACTTTAAATTATGATACATTCTTACAGTTCTAAGAGCTACCCACATAATAAATGGCTTATCTAAAAACACCAGCTTATGCTATCTCAGGTCTCCACATAAGCAGAATCAGATTATTTTACCCCAGTTTACTTGTAACTCAAAAAGGTGAAATTAATCTGCCAAATGCTGGTAAGCTTCTTATGGTCTTCAGTAATGTAAACCGGTGGTTAGACCTTATGATAGAGAGATGCCAATTTGTTATTCATCATTCTTTCTTGGTTTAAGAAACGCTACAGGAAACATTCCAAATACATCTTCTGTGTAAAAGAAACTTCGACATAAAGGTTCTAAGAAATGGTTACCATTGGCAAATGTGAAAGAAGTTGTACCTTAAAAACGCAAGGATCAACAAACGTAACTCGTACCGTTTTAAGAAATAAATTATGGGTACTATGAACCATTCACTTAACATGGTTTCCACTCTCAAAAGACTTCAACCGTCAACCCATTTTGGCAGTAAGGATGTCACAGACATTACAGACATTAAAGTGATTAAACCATGATACATCCTGCTACTGTTTGAATATGTCCCCCCAAAGTTCACGTGTTGGAATCTATCCACAACGCAAGTGTTGAGGTGGGACCTTTAAGAGGTCTCCCTGCCCTCGAGAATGGACTGATGCCGTTATCTTGGCAGTGAGTGCCTGATAAAACGGTGAGTTTGGCGTCCTTCCCTGTCCCTCGCACACTCTGTCGCCATGTGATGCCTTCTGCCATGTGATGACACAACAAGAGGGTCCTCACTAGGTGCCTTCCCAGCCCAAGAACTGTAAGAAATAAATCTTTGTTCTTTATAAGTTACCTAGTCTCAGGTTATTGTTATAGCAACAGAAAACAGACTAAGACACAGCCATCCTACGCAACACTCTGCAGTCGTTAAGAAGAATGAAAATGGTCTTTTTTACTGACCAAGGTCTCCAAATTAAGAGTTCTGCAAATTGTAGAACAGTATCAATCTCACTTATGTAAAAAGTGTATGTAAAAAAAAGGCCAACAGTAAGCAGTTAACAGTGGTTTACTCTGGAGAGGAAACAAATGACATTAAGAGGGTTAGTAGGAGCCAGGCACAGTGGCTCAGGTCTGTAATCCTAACACTTTAGGAGACCAAGGCAGGAGGATTGCTTGAGGCTGGGAGTTCAAGACCTGAGCAACACAGTCAGACCACGTCCACAAAAAAAATTTAAAGGTTAGATGGTCTTCCAGATCTTCCAGGTCAATGCTGCATCAAGATAAAATCCCATCGTGTTGTTTTGATGCTTTGCATAGCCAGAGAGGTTTCTCAACTTGCTCTCCCCTCTCAAAACCGCACAAAAACACACAAGCCTTGTTCTACTGTACGTTCTCATTAACGAAGGAAGCAGACCCTTACTAAGATGGTTTAACACTTTCCCTTAGGTTTCATTTTCTTCTCAGAGCTCCATTAAACACAATAAAAATCTTAAAACAGTGCCTGGCATTCAGTGTACATTCAATGTAACTCAACTTATCTTCTCTTGAAAATATTTTCTTCCAATTATGAATTAAAATTTACTAAACCCTGGCCTGCTACTAAAAAGGAATACATATATTCAAACTATTAAGGGGACCTGTGGTTGCTAAGTATTTAATATTTAAAACCTTCTGTGAACTGCCCAGTTTCTCCCCCACCTCCACCTCCCAGAAAGCAACATGTGTTTAGGAGTACTCACGGGACTGCCACCCCAAACAATAAAAATTGCCGTGACCTTTCTACCTACAGTGGGTCACCTGAGGAAAATAATCTTGAAAATCATTAATACACTCGCAATTCCAGCAAATTAAATTTGGCTTCCCTTGGTTCTTGATGTACCAATAATAAACAAAGGCATCGTGCTTTTTAAAACTTTATTTCAACATAACTATGCTTACAGAAATACACTCATATTGGTTAATAGAATGCAATTTAAGTTTAACTTATCCTACACAATTTGGACCAAAAACTTGGTACATGGTTTAAAATTTTTAAAAAAAGGATTTGCAATCTGGTTTATTTTCATCTAATACAAATGTATAAAAGATCCATCAAATGCTGCTAAAGGCGGCAGCAAGAACCTTGAGAAATTTACCTTTGGTTTGCCTCAGAAAAATAACACGTATTGCACTGTATAAGTTTATAAATTGGTGCAACAAAACATTGTTGTAATGTTTCAATGCCAGTTTACAAAGCACAATAACTCATGGATGTGGAAGGGGGGGAGCCTATGTACACGTGTGAACAGTAAAAGCTATCTGATTTAGTTCATATTGCATGTAGACTGAAAATCTACACAAACCAAGATTCAGATAATTTCTTCAATTCTGCTGAGGTCAACAAGGAAACTCGGCACACTAGCTGTATGTTTTTCTGACTTATGCAAAAAAGAAGAAAATTAAGTTTCTTCCCCAGCTTTTCAGTCCAGAATTGACAGTATACTACAGGCAAGGTATTCCTTCCATTGTCGACATTCATGCAATGAGGGGTAACATGCAGTGAGGTCCACTTGGGTTTTAATTCATATCAGCACTCAAATGCAAAATAGTCTCCAAAGTTAATGACCACATGACTTTAGAAGTGACTCTTAAAAAAATAAAATGGCCCTTCTTGGAAGACTAAAGCAAAACATCCAGCTATAGTTATAAGAAGCCTTATCAAAAAAAAAAAAATGCAGCCCCTTGTGAATTACACCTCAATAAAAAAAGTATCCCCAAAATAAGCAGCTCTGAATAAAAGAAGAAAAATATAACTTAAAATATCTTGAAAACCAATGTGAATATAGGTTCAAAAGATAGTTAACAGATTCATTTTCATACGACTACCTAGGATTAAGGCTTATACTGTATTCTAGTATTTCAAGTTCATTACTAGTTACTAAACATCAATTTACAAATACATGTTCATTTTTTTTTCCTTTATCAAAAGGGAAAATTCTAGCTTCAATTCTATCCAGTGGGAGGGAGAAGGGACTAGAAAATAAAAAGATTCAAACAGTTCCATGCAAATAACACATTTTTCAAATGGAGGAACTTCAAACTGGACCGGAAGTTCATATTGCTAATATACTTTTCATTGAAACAATTTTTAGTAAGTACAAATACATGGCATTAAGGTTCAGAACCTAATATAGGCCTGACAATCAACTCATTATTTTCTGGAAGAAAGGCCTCAAGTCCCAATCCATTTCCAGTAACAATGCTTTTACAGATCAATTTAATAATAAGGGGTTTAATTTCCTTCATATTTTTATTTTTAGCATTCTAGTCTTAAAGACTAGATTAGAAATTAGTTCAATTCCCCAGACGGCAATTTTTTTTCTTTTGCAGTATGAAAGAATCCACAAAAACCTCTTCCCCAAATAGATTCCCAATATTCAATCTGTGCTTAAGATGAATCTTTTTCTCTATAATGTAAACTGTAACTTAGGTAAAATGTAGCCACGAACATTAAACTAGTTGTTAGAAAGATTTAACTAGGTTTATAATTTAAGTTTTAAAACATAAATATTTGCAGCTTGATCTTTTGTTGACAATGATTGTCGGAGCCTAGAATTCAACATTTACAAGTTCCCATTCATGCACACAAAGCACACACCATTATCACACTACTTACTCCTCATGTTTGAGAGAATCTTCTGCTTTCTTAAATCTTTGGCCTCCCAGTCAATTCCAAGTCCGAACAACTTTTTGTTTGTTTTTTTTTTTTTCCTTTTCCAAACAGCTTTTAACTCAGACTTCTCTCTCAGATTTTTCACAAGTTTTCCATTCACACATCATTAACGTTTTTCCTAACCTTTCATGTTGTACTGCCAAAATCTGATAGCTACCCTCAAAGAGATCACCAGATTAAAAAAGAAGTAAATGAAATATAAAGTGGTTCTACCAAAATAGAATATGGGAGGTCAGAACTCAAAATTCCCTATTGGGATTATACTTTATTTTAATGCAATGAATAACTACGATCAGTAAGGAAAATCCTATGTTGGATTCTTTCATAATCTTTGGCAACTGGCCAAAGAATCTAGGAAAAAAAGTTTTGGAGTACACGCCCTTTTTCATACAAAGTGCCCCACAGAACACCAGAATAACTGTAATCCATGTGAGGCCTCACCTGTAGAAAGAGGCTGTCACAGGGGACAGCCAGGACACCCACGAGTTTGTGGAGATCCCTGAGAAAGTATGATTTTTTAAAATCTGGACTGTACTTAAGTTTCACCAGCCTTTTTCACTGTATTTATAGGAAGCTGCAGCTGGTCTGCCAGCACTCATACCACCGCTCTTATCCTAGGGTTTGCTGTACCATAGCTATGGCTTTGGAATCTCCCAAGTGATATTCTGTAAAAACTTGAAGGAATAATTATGTCTCCTGATTCCAGGTTTGCAATGTCCATCACTTACAGTTCTTTATTCGGTTTAAGTAGCCATACTGGACGCCAACCATCTATGAGAAAAGGTTTTCTTCAAAGATATGATTTAACACTCTACAATCAGGAATTAGCTGTACCAAAACACACAAAAAAACCCAATAACTGATGGTTGGTGTTTGAGATAAAAATTTGTTCAATATGGAACCTAGTGGTTAATTTACTACAAAATCAAAACTGAGAGCTGTTGAATTTACTACATCCACTCAAAATAAATAACTTATACGAAATACAGATTCTGGCATAGATATGTGAAAATCAAAATCAAAGGATTGAATCTGCATGTTTCATTTGCTCACAAACTTGCACACACTATTATTCTGCAAAAAAGACAATTGCAGCAAAGAAAAAGAAAACTGCCCTTTTGCAAACAAGCCTAAAAGCATCCCTCCTCCAGAGAGGCCAAAATAAACATGCATATATGTATAATATAAGTGTTACTGTTCAACACAACTGCTATTTCTAGAAAATATTTAACTGCATAGGTTAAAAAAAAAAACACAAAGCAATGTGCAACATCTTAAGCCATTAAAGCACCAAAATAAAACACACCAAAATCACTGTTTTTATGACAATTAACATATACAAATTAGAAATATTGATCAAAATTCAGGAAGTAAATACCTGGACTGATAGAATGTCCATTGTTGGGAGAATTTCTCTTCGATTTAAATGTCTTCTCTTCTCTAAAAAAAAATCTTAAAGTGCTAACTTTATATAAAGCAGGCAAATTCTTCAAGTAATTTGCTATTAAGTAGGCCAATTTTTTATAGAGCTAAACAAGGAACTAAAAACAAACTAAAGTAAAACAGGAAGACAGACATGGAGAAAAAAACTGACAAGCTGTAGCTGGACAAAGCAATAGAATGCTATTATACCATCTTGGCCGTCTCATTTCAGTTAAACACATACGCTAATAGATTTAGGTTTATCTGCTGGTTTAGTACACTAACTCCCTTGGATTTGCTAAAATGTATACAACAATCAACAGGTCTATATAAAGTCCTAAGGAAAAGAATGCCACTTAAAAATCAACACTGGACACTAATTAAAGCAATCTTAAAAAGTTGTCTACTATTATAAGTGGATATAAAATGTAATAGACCTTAGAACTAAGAACTGAAACCTTGTCCAAAGTTTCATTACTCCTGTCCTTGAGCTGCTTTTTCTAGGAAGTACACATTAACCAAATGGCGATTGAGGTGTTTGCTGAAATCTTTCTCCTTTCTGAAAGAGCGATCGCAGAAGATACAGATAAAATCTCCCTTGGACACCTTCACTGCCAAGGCTTCCTTTGCATTTTTTCTACTAGCTTCCTGTGGAGCTGGCCGAGCCCCATGCAATCCGGAATCATCACTACCCTCTGACATGTTGTCACTTAGGTCACTTCCATCATGACTGTGTATGCCTTCGTCTTCATCGATTTCCTGAGACTCGCTTACTGCCATGGTGATGGGAGGTGATGTCAGAGGAGTTTTGGACGCGGCTTCACTTTCTTCTGTTGGTGGGGGAAGGAGCGATGGCGAAACTGGTTCTTCGACTGCGGAGTCTTTGCCAGGCAGACTCTCTGTGGTGTTCTGACCAGTGTCCAGTTCCATTTCACAAACAGTACCGTCGGTCTGGTATTTACCATCTAAAGTTTCACCCTCTGGCTTATTCAAGTTTTGTCCAGAGGAGGAAACGTTGGTGGATTCCTTGATAAAAGCAGCAAGACCAGCTAGGCTCTCATCTGCCTCTTCTGCTCCTTTCTGAAGAAGGGCTTCCTTATTTCCTTCACCTTCGGAGAATAATTTTTGGTCTTTTGATGCCTCTTCTTTTAAGCTTTCCTTTGGCAGCAGCGGTGACGGTGCTAAGAGATCCTGTGTCCTTGCGCCTTCCTTCAGAAGTCGGCTGTCTTTCACAGGCACCAAGCCAACTTCAATGAGGACTTGCTCCTTCCGTGCCATTTCACTCTGCATGTTAGCCTTTTCCTTCCTATCTTTTCGGAGAGGAGACTTTTTGGGAATTGGCTCCATGTGAAGAGGAGGATCTAGGGAAGGAGGTGGCTCCATCTGAGCAGGGTCCTCCTGAACAACAACCTCCACAGGAGGAGGCAGTTCCATCTGAGCAGGCTCCTTCTCAACCACCTCCACAGGAGGAGGCAGCTCCCTCTGAGCAGGCCCCATCTGAGCAGCCTCCACAGGAGCAGGCCCCATCTGAGCAGGCCCCTTCTGAACAGCCTCCATGGGAGGAGGCCCCATCTGAACAGCCTCCATCTGAGCAGGCCCCTTCTGAACAGCC